AGAGTACATGTACATTTTATTCAAGTATATACACATATATATATATTTATGCATTTACATATGTACATACACGCGCGCATAAACCCATACAGGCACAGACACAAACATGGACATTCACTAAATAGACAACAGGCAAAAAATTACATGCGCGCACGCATATATACACATCTACATATATATGTATGTGTATATGTATAAATAGGACGTAATAAAAAAGAACCTACCCTATAGATACGTATTATCAAAAGATTTTCCATTGATCGTAAAAATATGATTCGAGTGACACGTTCAAACTTTTCCATGAACCGTATTTTGTAAATCTGTTATAGCAATCAGTGTATAGGACTCAAAAAAATACCTCTTACGTTATCCATATACGTAAGGTGTATGTGTCACTAAGTAGAAGAACGGAACACGGCCCAAAACTGAACCGTACAGACGATTTTCGAACGCTGTATCGAGATGTATTTTTTTTTATTTTTACATCATAAAATTTGTAGAAAATAAGAGATGAAAAAACTATCACTACAACCAAATATAGATTATTTTTAATCAATGATTACATCTACAATGATTCTCATGTAAACGAATCATTTTTTCATCTTTTATTAGTTTTGAAACATATCCTTTTCATTTCGATGCTGCGTTCGAAAACTCATATGATGCTTATGTACACGGAGCCGAGCTGTTCAAGACTAAAGTGCCTATCGTGTACGATACGTACATCTTGTCAATTATTTTCTATTAAATTACTATCTTCTGTAAATGCAATAAATGTGTATAGAACAACGAGCAGTTTGACGAAAACGCACTTGCACTAAGCATGCGTAATCGCGTGTCGTAAATGTTTAAACGAGAAACGAATAACTCAGTGTGAGTCAATAAAGATGGGAAGAATGACAGCCTGGAACAGCTCCGACGTGGCAATAAAAAATTTGTTCGATTCAACTCAAATCTAAAAACTCGCTACTTTTCGTACTACACTACGGTAGGCTGGAATTTAGGCTTTCTGGCAAACGATAGTTCATCATATGATATGGCGGACTTGCAGGACTTCCCGGTTGACTATTCATGCCAAGATTACTCGAACCACGACCGCGTTTTCGCCTTTGTAATATACCTTTCCTAACCATATAGAATCGAATCGTACTTATCGGAATTTTGTACTTTTCTGAAGCAACTTGAAACGTCATACCACGTGCTACCATATCCGAAGCTTGCTTCAATTCCTCTTCTGAACGTCTTTGTCGTCTTTGATAACCTGAAAATTATATAAGAGCAAATATAATAAAAAAAAATATCTTGTTCATCCTGTCAGATTATTTAATTGCAATCTAATAAATTTTCAGCCAATGATTAGTCAATAGTCAATAGTCAATATTAAATATTTTTAAAATTTAGTGCTATTTATTGTGTTGAAATTTGTAATATTATAAATAACAGAACATACAAAATTTTATAAAAAATATGCATGATTTTGATAAAAGAAAGTTCTTTGATTTATTTATTCAATTTCAATGCTTATTTATTAAATTTTTTATTATTATTATTTATCCTTTTTTTGTTCTATCTTTTCCTCCTTACCTTCAATTGCAGGAAACGGGCTACTAGGATTACAATTGCTGCTCGGTACCATACTAATGGAGTATGGCTTGACATCTTGCTGTTGGGTAAATTGCTCGTCTGGTTCCATTCTAACCATGCCCTGAGTCTCAGTTAAAGTTGCTTCGCAAACGCTAAGTGCTTTTTCCAAATGTTGTAATGCCTCACTGTGCTCCATATTCATAAAATTTGATGAATTAGAATTCTGTGGAACCGGTGTAGTACTGTGTGATGGAGCATTTGCTGTACTAGATGCAGCAATCGATGTATTCTCTAGAAAATTAGTATTTGAAGTTCCATCCTCAGATGGAGTTTCCTCAGATTTATAGTCAGATCCATCCTGTTGTGTGATCGTAGGTGCAACAGTAGCATTAGAATCGCATTGTTGTGAACCACTTTCACTCGAAGAATTATCACTTGATCCTTGAGTAAATAAACCACGAACCTGGTGATATAATTATTAAGTAAGAATCAATACAATCTATATGTATCTTTTCTAGAATTCCATATAAGTATTTACTATATAAATAAATTTTTATTTAAAAAATATTTTTATTCATTTACCTGCAAAACTTCAGCAGCTTGCATTAATTTACCAAGTTGCTGTTGTTCCACATATACTTCACCACGATACATAAACTCCACTAATGCTTGAAGTTCCCACATTCTCATATCTCTCAAAAATATAATAGGATGAGTGCAAGGTATTTCTAATAATAAACGTTCCAAATAATCACTACAAGCGGATAATACCACTTTGTGACACTTTATTGAGCCTCCATCACAGGCTAAAGTGACATCAACAAATTGTTCAGAACTTAAAAGTTTTGGAAATGCACTGTGCATATTTGATTGATGAGAGTTCCATGAAACGCAAAACTGTTGACGATCCCCACCAGGATAATTACCCGGCGTAGGCAGGTTGCTTCCGCTTTCCATTATTCTGCAGCTTTAGAATAAATTTCCTGTCAATATCAATATATTTTTCTTTATATTTTACATATTTTACATATTTTACATTTTTATATTTTAAAAAAATTTCATAAAAATATTATAATTATTAAATATTGTAAAATATCAAAATTGTTTAACGTATTTTAGATATTAAATAACTATTATACATACAAGCTATGATTTAAATTGTTATGAAATAAATATTCCAAATAATATTGTAAACAATAAAATCCATTTATTATATTTTATTTCAGACTTTTGATATTTTAATTTTTACTTGTATAAATATATAAATATAATATAAATATATATCATATCGTATACATATATATACATTTAATTATTATTGTAATTTTATTTATTTCTTTATAATCAAATATTTCAATTTTTTATCAAATCAATGTATTAACTTCAAAATATTTTATATATTTCAAATAAAATCTTTTTCATTAATGAAAATTTATTGAACTCAAAAATTATAGATAAAAAATACATATATATATATATATATATATGAATAAATTAATAAACAAATTATATTTTTTTTATCAAAGAATAATATTATAATAAAACACTTTAAAATAAATATTAATATAGATTCCATATAAGGTAATGAAAATATGTTTATATAAATATAAAATATATAAAGATAAAAAATAAATACAAAAATTATATTTATTTAACAAAATTTGTTTAGAATAATATACAATATGGCTGTATTACTAAAGAAATTTTAGTATCAACTATACAAATTTATCTACTATTATAAATAATTATGTATAAATGCGTAATATATAATTGAAAAATATAAAAGATATACCTGCGATCCAATATTCAAATTGGTAATTTTATTGTAGCTTAGTGCAATTATAAAGGAGAAAATCAACATCGAGAAGCCTTTAAAGAAAATCCATGGCACTAGCCGAGAACGAATGTGCAACAAAACAAATCTGTCGTTGGAAGCACATAAATGAATTCCTCGGAAAAAATGTTCAAATACAAACTTTAGTTATGCGGCGTTTATCGTAATCACGTGCTCAAAGCGTACTAGCCGACAGGTTAACCAAAAAATATCGAATGTACGTGGAGATGTATAAGATTTTTTTGTCAATAGAAAAATGGTGAAATCTTTGTGGGAGACGCTGTCGGCGTGAGTGCCATCACCCCCCAGGAACGCCTTGAACACAAGTTTGGTCTTTCTTTTTAATTTCCGAAATCAAATCCTATGAACTTTGAGAATCCAAACAACGAAATATAGTATAAATTTTACAGTAAATGATTTCACTCACGAATTTTCAGCTTGGTCGACTCCTCTCAGATTTTCGCGTCGCTTTCGGGAAGAATCCCTTAAGAAAACATTCATCCGCCGAGATTTGCACTAGCTAGGGGAGCTCGAACGAAAGGGTGGGGGTAGTAAGGTTGGGGGTAGCTTAGTGGAACACTAGCGCACCTCTTGCCTTTCCTGAAAACTCTTACGAACGTTAAACTCCCCGAACCTTTGTCTACAACCAGTCTATATATATTTATGCATAGTTATCTATTTATATAGCTATGTTATATAAATTTCACAGTTTTTATTAAAAAAATTCTATAATTTTTAAAATTATTCTTTATTAAAAAATTAATTTTTATAAAATATTTTTATTATACTTTATATCAATATTATTTTTTATTTTATTTAAAATCTTAATCTTTTTTTTCACTGAAAATAATAATTATACATATTGATTGGTTTAAACGATTGAAAATGATGACTTTATAAAAATTTTTTTTTTTTTAATTTTTTATTTTTTTCAACATTAAGATTTAACAAAATATATAATTTTCTCGTATCTATTAATTAGAATTGTCACTATTTCTCCTATCGGATTTCTATACATGTACATTCGCGCCATTATATGAAAACGCTCCATAAACTTTAGAGAAATTAAGGTTATTAACGTTTTCATTGATTCAAGTATGCGATATAATACTAAAATATTAAAACATATTTAGAAAATGATTAGTAATTTATTTTATAAAAAATTTTATAATCCAATATAATTTTTGATTAAATGTATCTGTATTTTTAAATTTTTCATTTTTTTCCTTTTTTATCATATAGATCATAATAATAGTAATTTTTTATCAAATTATTTTCATGTATATAAAACATTTAAAATTAAAATTATTGATTATATCATATCCAATGAAAATAAATTATCATTTAATTAATTGCATGTGAATTTTTATTGGTTTAAAAAAATATTTTAAAAAATATGTATTATTTTATTTATTAATTATTTTATTTTTATTTAGTGATTTTTCATTAACATAAATTTATAATAATGATTCTTCATTCATATGAATTTTATTTTTATTTAATTCTATATTTATATGAATTTTAATAACGTAAATACAATATTACCATTAAAATTGATTGATACATTCATTGACACATTTATTTATTGTATGAAAATCTTAAATCTTAGTATACTATGATTGAAGTTTAACTAACTTTTTACTTCGTTGGATATTTGGTAAACAGTAATTCCATTGTTTTCTTTATTTACATGAATTTTATTATAAAATAGAAACAAAAGCGCACGAAATATGTCCAAAATAACTGGTTATGATACACATGATGATGGACCAGGTTTTGTTGGTATTAGATTTTGTCAAGAATGTAATAATATGTTATATCCAAAAGAAGATAAAGAAAATAAAGTTTTAATGTATGCAGTAAGTATTTTATGCAAAATAAATTTTATCTTTGAATCAAATTATTTAAAATTTTTTATTCTTAACTTCGTAGTGTAGAAATTGTGATTTTAAACAACTCGCTGATAGCAATTGTATTTACGTGAATAAAATTATGCACGAAATAGAGTAAGTAAAAGTGATAATATACATAACTTGTAAATATATTCATATATATAATTTTTAAATTTTCATCAGAAACGAATTTTTTTCTTTATTTTTAAAAATAAACTTATAATTTTTACAACAAAAATGTGTTATTGTATTTTATTATAATTTTTTTTATAATTCTAGTGAATTGACACACATTGTCGCAGATGTTATATCAGATCCTACTTTACCAAGAACAGAAGATCATCCTTGTCCAAAGTGTAACCATAGAGAAGCAGTATTTTTTCAAGCACAAACTAGACGAGCAGAAGAAGAGATGAGGTTATATTATGTGTGTACTAATCAGCATTGTTGTCATAGATGGACAGAATGAAATTTCAGAAATTCTCTGTACATATTAAATTTATATATTTAAAATATAAAAACTAAGGATGTATATTACTATAAATTATTATACAGAAAAAAATTTTAATAAAATACATTTTTGTATTATAATATATAATTTGTAATATAATAATTTATTTCGCATATAATAAATATATATTGCAATAAAATTATATATAAAAAAATTAAATTTATATATAAATTTCCTTAATAATAATTTATTTATATATATTATAATATATATTAATTTATACATATCATAAATTATAAGATCGTAATAAATTAACTAACTGATTTTTCTGAGATGATTAATCTATCAAAAATTAAGTTTTTTTGAAATTTATATGTACTTATGCGCACGCGTATAACAAAGTTATTTGTGCCTCTAACCAATTTTTCTTTAGTCTCGAGATTGTTTTTTAATAGGAAAGCTTCGAACATTTTTCTTGTTTCTAGAATTTACGAAAGTAATAACGGAAAATAGTAGCAACATCAATCAAATTTCTATAATGCTCTCTTTCTTATTTTATTGATATAACATTTATGTGAGACAGATTAATTAATGGGTGCAGCTCATACGACTAAAGTTATAGAAAAAATGGAGAAGTAAAAATTATTTCTATTATTTTCATATTTGTTTTTTATTAATATTTGAAAGCTAGTACAGGTTATCTAATTTTGAAAATTATTTTAGTTCTCAATCTTCGAACAATCGAGAAAAAACAGAAGGACAACCACGCGTAAACAGCAGAGCAAGACCATTATCTATTGAAGGACCATCAAGTATGAATAACACCGAACCACAAGTACTTGAACCATTACCAAACCAACCCAGACAACCAACAAATTTACAAGGATTGCTCAGATTTGCTATGGAAGCAACAAATTCTCAGAATGTAACCAGCGATACTCCATTTCAATCTATGGATGAAGAAGTAGGTAGCATAAATATATTTACTTTAACTTTACTATACTTATTTTAATTATCTATATAATTTCTATAAGAAATTCATTAAAGATATATTAAAAATCTTGCTTATAGAGACAAGAATTTTTGAAACAAACTCTTTCCTCATTATCATGTAATATAATTGAGGAATTACAAAAATCCATTAAAGTTTTGTCAAATGTAATTGATCTTCGTCCAGATGATGATACATCACAACATGAATCTGCTTTAGAAAAAATTGCAGATTTTGTAGATAATATAGACATTGCCAATGATTTTTATAAAATAGGTGGTTTTTCGATATTTGGTCCATGCTTAAACTCTCCACATAGCAGTATTAGATGGAGAGCAGCAGATGTAATTGCTGAATTAGCTCAAAATAACCCCTTTTGTCAAGAAAGATTTTTAGAAACTGGCTTGTTTCCTATATTATTGAATATGATAGATACAGATCCTGCAGAAACTGTTAGAATTAAAGCTTTGTATGCAGTATCATGTAAGTAAAAAATTTTTATAATAATAATATATATAATATATATAATAAGAATATAATAATATATATAAATATATATTAATTATATATTTATTTATATTAATTTAATATTAATTATATATATTAAATATAGGCATAGTTCGAGAACATCCAATGTCTTTAAAATACATGGATATAAATGATGGATATTCAATTCTCTTAAGAGCTATGCAGAGTTCAATAAAAAAATTACAAATTAAATCTGCATTTCTCTTATCTTCTTTATGTAGTAAGGAAAATGTAAATGATTTAAAGTTAACATTAGTGAATATGGGTCTAATTGAACAAGCAACAGGTTTGCTGGCCATTGGTGATCTACTTCCAGAAATTAGGTATTATTTTATAAATTTATTTTTCTAATATAATTGAAATTGAATATGTTGAAAGTATATATTGAATCAAATTTAATATATTTCAGAGATCAATTGCTAAATATTCTTGATGGTTTGACCAATGATAATTTTTTCCCTGCTTTAAAAGAATGTCGACGACCTGAACTTTGCTTACAATCTACTATAGAACGTTACATAAAAGATTTAAAACAAGAGGAAAATCCTGATCAGATAGATGTATGTTATCGATTATTGAATAAAGTTTTCTCTGATCAGGATACAAATCAAGAAAGATAATTTATAATAATATTGGATCCCTTTTATGTGTATTAAATTTGTATATCATCAAATATCATTAATAAATAAAAAAAATGTATTTTATTTATATTACATTACACATGTTTGATTTATTAATCATTTCTATAAATGTAGGAATCAATATTTTATATATTTTCCTATATATTATTTTTATAAAAAAACTTTTGAGAAAAAAGTATAAATTATATTTTGAAAACAAAATTGTCATATAGGATGTAAAATATCTTTTGCATATCGATTTTAATGTCCAAAACAAACATAAAAAATAATATACAAAAATATCGATAAAAACTTTTTTATTAACTTATTTTAATTTAAGTTTGATAAATAAGCAATAAGTTAGATGAAGCAAGGCAGAGTTGACGTGATAGAGATAGAGTTATTTTATTCTCTTTTCATTTCATCTAATTGCTTAAATAAATAGGCAAATCTAAATCGATATTTTTATATATCAATTTTTATGTTTATATAATAAAATCATAAAAAAATTGTTATTTATGAGTTAACCGATATTTACATTTTATATAAATATTTATTTAAATATTTTCGATTAAAATGTTTTCTTCGTATTAATATAATTAGATGTGATGATAGAAATTTCACATTATATATTAGATGAATAACAGTTAAAATATCCCTCTATCTTTATTTCTTAATGCTTAATTTAAAATTTTCAATTTTACCCGGTCAAATTGTATATGATTTATATATGAATGATGTAAATGATGATGAAGCTATAACGTTTTGTTGGATGAATTTTCATATAAAAGTTTAAAATTTATTAAACGTCAAAATTAAGAAAGGATAGCTATGGCTAATGAAAAATCTATACAGCAAACAGAAGATCAAGAATTAAACGATTTATTAGACAGTGAGTAAATATAATATTATATAATTTGTCATTAAATGAATATAACTAAAAATCCTAACCTTATAGTATGTAAATGTTTAACGATTTCATCTTTGTTTTTCTTTGATATGTTTCTTAAATAGATATTTATATTTAATTTTATTTAAAAATTTTATATAAAAATATGAAAAATGTGATATAGTCAAAATAAAATGAAACAAAGGAGGAGGATGAAAAAAATAGTAAAGTGTTAGTAAATTTTTATAAAGACTGTATAAATATACTATTTTTTTCTGTACTAGTATTTTTTTATAAAAATACTAATTAATTTTTTATTATATAATTTATAATATTTCTAAATTTAAAGAGAAAAAAGAAAACATTTAAGATAATAAATATTTTATTTTAAATTTAAGTTTAATAAAAATTATTGTTATTTATTAGGTGCTTTAAAAGATTTCAATAAAGAACAAAAATCAGAAAAAGAAGATATATGTAAAGTAAATATTCTTGAATCTATGCCAGATAAGAATATATCTGATATTTCAGAGGATGCTTGGACTACAGATTTTATTAAACAAGCAGCAGAACAATTTGAGGAAAATCTACAAAATTTTATTCAAAATGGTAAATTTTATAATTTAAAAAAAGATATAAAAATGATATAATTATGTAAGAATGATATAATTAAAAGTTTTTTCATTAGGATCAGATAATGAATTAGGAGCTTCTTTCCAAAAAATGGCACAAACAGTTGCTAGTGTAATAAATGATGAAGATAGTTTTGATAAAGATACTGTGAGTACAGATTTCAAATCTGCCATTACACGAGCATTAAATGATTTATCTGCAACATCCGAAAATTTACAAGTAATTATTTTCAGAAATTATATGATTTTTTTTTTAATCCTTTGAATCTTTAAATTCATTCATAAAAATATTGTAGAGTGAAGCTGATTTATCAGATATATTTGGACAAGTATCTTTAGAAGATGGTCCTGGTGCTATTTTACCATTTATGCAAGGAATGTTACAGCATTTATTATCTAAAGAAATTTTATATCCATCATTGAAAGAATTGATAGAAAAATATTCTGAATGGTTAGAAGAAAAAAAGACAACAGTATCATCCAATGATCTACAACGGTTTACAAAACAACTTAAATTAATGCAACAGGTTATTATATATATAATCAAAATAGCTATAAAAATATATCATTTCCATAAATATTATACTATTACTTTAAAAGCGGATAAAATTAATCTTTCATTTTAGGTATGTATTGAACTTGATAAAGAAAAAGATGATGATACGGAAGAAATAAAAAGGAAACATTTTGAAACAATAATATCACTTATGCAAGAAGTACAAGCTTGTGGTCAGTTACCTGAAGAATTGATAGGTGAACAGACAACACCTTTTCAAATTGATACTGAAGGTGATTCTGTGATTCCAGCATTATTACGTAGCATGGAATCATCACAAAACTGTTGTTTAATGTAAATTAATTTTAATAATTATTCGCAATTTTTATGGCTCTATAATAGAAGACATTATTATTTAAAAAAAAATTGAGATAACAAATTAAGATATACACTCCATGGGTATTTATATGTATATATATATGTATGTGTATATATATATATATATACAAATGATATATGGGAAAATATTTAATATGATTTATTATTCTTAATAATAGTATGTTCAAGCGATCATGATTATATAAAATGTTCCTCATTTATAAATTTTATATGTTTAGGTATATATGTATAGTTCATTGAAAGATATAAAAAATACAACAATTATTGAATGCTAGTGATATAAAAATATTAATATATATTATCAATTAATACTATATTTGTAATTATATTATCTCTAAACGAACTATATATGTATTATCATAAAATTAGATACATTTTTGTATACTAGAAATAATTTAAATTATTATTGCATTGGAGAAAAGTAAAATTTGGTCATATTACTAGCGCTTTAATTTACATGTACAATTATTTATAGTAATTGTAAAATTTTACTTCTATTTTAAATATTGTTTGAATATTTTATTGTTATCTTATTTAAATATGTTCTTTCTTCTAATTCGATTTAAGTGCAATATGTATTTTGTACAATTATTCGTGTGTTTTTTTCCGCAATCGAATTTTTTAATAATAACAATTATAATTTTAAATGAAACATTAAATATACATTATTCAAGAAAGAAAAAAAGAAAAAATAATTACATGAGAAAATAACATATGAAATGGTTAATAGTAAATACTGTACTTAGTATAGTCTTTTTTTTTATAATCATAAATATATTTTAAATTTTTGTTTTATTTACGAATATCGATGTATCTCATATATAAATATGAGATGAAGATATTTTTAAATATAAATTACATCAATATAATATATATTATCAAGATTAACAATAAACATTTTTGTTTTATTATTATTATATTATTGCTAATTTAATAATTAAATGAAATTAACATTTTTGACATCTAACCAAAATCTATAGATGTAGATGATATCGAATAAACTAGAAATTACAACGAAGATAAAGCAGCAACTCCTGGTAAAACTTTTCCTTCAAGTAATTCCAAACTTGCACCACCACCAGTACTAACATGGCTTACTTTATCTTCTGTTTTCCATTTAGCAACGCAAGTAGCTGTATCACCACCACCAATTATAGAAATAGCACCTTTTGATGTCGCTTCAACAATATTATCCATTAGACTTTTAGTGCCTTTATTAAAATTTTCAAATTCAAAAACACCAGCTGGACCATTCCATACAATTGTTTTTGCTCTTTTAATAGGTTCTGAATTGAATTCAATAAAATTGATAAATATTTTTGCAATGTTGATATACTATAAATTGGTATAAGATAAATTAAAACTTACGACTAAATAATTCTCTTGATTTTGGTCCAACATCAAGTCCCATCCAACCATCAGGTATACCACTTTCTATATCTGCTGCACCAACAGTTGCATTTTCTGCAAATTTATCTGCCGTAACAAAATCAACTGGTAAATGTATTTGGACTTTATTTTTCTCAGCTTTTGACAATAAATTATTAATGATTTTTGCTCCTTCCTCATCAAATAATGAATTACCAATCTAGATTAAAAATAAATAATTTAAGTAATTTGATAAAAGTAATTTAAATTACTTACCCTAAATGAAATAATAGTTTTATATATTTATATGCACTTGCCTTCATATTTTTCGATATTTTTAAAAAGGTATAAGCCATTCCACCACCTATTATCATTTCATTAACTTTATCTAGTAAATTATCAATCAACTGTATTTTATCTGCAACTTTAGCACCTCCTAATATTGCTAAAAATGGTCTCTCAGGATTCTCCAATGCTTTGGCAAAATATTCTAATTCTTTCTTTAAAAGAAAACCACTAGCTCTTATTTCATATCCTTCACCAAGCATAGAACTGTGAGCACGATGAGCTGTACCAAAGGCATCATTAACATAAACATCTCCTAATTTTCTCAATGATTTCCTAAATTCGTCTACTTTTGTTTTATCTGCTTTTATCTAATAAAATAAAATAAATTGCTTTATCAAATTTATTATATAGATAATGATATCATCATATATAATTTACTTACTTTCTTTCCATCTTCTCCCACTCCTTTACCTTCTTCTTCTATATGAAACCTCAAATTTTCAAGTAAGATAATGGTTCCTGGTTCTGGATTAGCACATGCATTTTCAACCTCTGATCCAACACAATCATTTAAGAATAGAACTTCCTTTCCAAGAAGAGATTTTAATTCATCAGCTACAGGTTTTATAGTATACTTCATATCTTTTTTACCATCTGGACGTCCCAAATGTGACATTAAAATAACAGACTTAGCTTTTTTTGAAAGAGCATATTTGATTGTATCCAAAGCAGCAACAATTCTTTGATTATTGGTGATTTTACCATCTTTTAAAGGTACATTGAAATCTACCCTATAATAGCATTAAACTTAATGATTAATTATATGCTTGAATTATTATTAAACTTACAATTTGATTATGAATAATAAGTAAAAGACATTAAGTTATTTTTTTTTAACCTATGATTACGGAATATCAATTATTTTATATTAATATATATCACATTATATATGAAATTAAAACATACGAAACATGAGAATATATATTTCATACAATAATGATATTCTAGCTGAATTATAAATGCAAAAAAGTATTTACCGTATAAGCACTCGTTTATTTGTAAGGTCAACTTTATCAATGCTGAGTTTATTCAGTGCCATGCCTTTTGATGTTGAATACGTTAAATTTGGTATAATAGTACTTAAGACAAGAAACGTATTATTAATGTTCCTCAACGTTAATGTAGTTTGTTCAACGTTTCTATTAGTAAAACTTTCGATCACTTTGGAATATTTTCTATCGATACACTTCGTTTCAACAAAGTCAAAGCAAGGTCGAAGTATACAGCGACCTCTTAAAAACTTTTGAACTATACGCATTGAAATGGCTATGAACTTATTTTATACGTAATGATTGTATGAATTGTATGATGCTAGTTTCATCATATAACGAGAAAAGTTTGAACTATTAGCGTTTAATTTGTTATTCATTTGTTGTTTATAATATATATATTTCATAACGATATTCTGAAAACTGAAAAATTTTAGAAATTAATATTATTGAAATTTTAAAAATTATCAAAATTGTAAAAAAATAAATATAAAAATATTCATTTGAATAAAAAAAAATATATAAAAAACAAAATACATCAAATTATATAAAAATTCAAATTTGGATAATTACATATAAACTTATTGTAATTTAAGATATTTTATAATTTTTATAAAATCTTTTATAAAATATTTAAAAATTTTTTAATTTGATAATAATTTGAAAATTATTATTTTATAAATAATTTTTTTGAATTCTCAAACTGATTCAGAGTTAATAGAGAATAATTGATTATTTAAAAATTTTTTTTTAAATATTGTATTTTAATTAATTTCTATTAACATAAAATTTTTATAAATTTTAATAAAGAAATATTTTTAAGAATATGTAGCATGAATTATAAATAATCCTTGATCAATTAGTTAGTTATCTTAAGATTAAAAAAATATAAATTAGATAGATAGAATTATTAATTATTAAATTAGATTAAATAGAATTATAGATAGATAAATATCATATCGACTTTTAAAATTATAACTTTTAAAATTCGACAATATTTTTTTATTATTTTTATTTGTCATAAAATATAATTGGAATAAAATTCAATGAATTTTTAAAAAAATAGTATATAATAGATATACAGGGTGTCACAAAAATGTGAGAACATCCGTTAATTGGAGATTTTTAATAATTTTGAGTAATATTGTTTTCGTTACAAAATTTCGTCTTTGTTAACTAATTATTAACAAAAAACATGAGCCAATTACAGAACGTGTAATCTAGCCGCGACATAGTGTTGGCTATATTCTATTGATCGATAAACAAATCCAAATAATATATATCGAAAAAAATATGTTAAATATTATATAATTTACTTATTGTTGATGATATAATTTGATAAATTTTTTATCAATAAAAAAATATTTGTTACATTCAATAAATTTCCTTTGATATTTTATTGCTTGGACTTGTTCGGTTGACACAATCAAAATTATCGTCGCGGTTCAACTAGGCTATGCGTCTATGATTAGCTATTATTTTTTTGTTAATAACTTATTAAAACTGTAATGAAAGTTTTTGCAAAAAAAAATATTAAAATTACTTAAGAATCTCCAGTTAACGGATTCTCACTTTATATATAATATATAAATATATACACAATATATAAATATATACACAAAATGAAGAGAGTGATGTATTCATATATTTTATTTATTTATTAAATTTTACAATATTAAAAATGTTTAAATATATTGAAATTGGCTATGAATATTAAATTAACAGAGAAATTCATTTAATTTGAAAATTGTTATTTACATGAAAGTTTGTGTGCATGTGGAGCATAATAACTTATATATTGAACAATTTTTTGTCGATATTTCTTTTATTAAAATCTCTTTCATTAAAAATTAAAAATAAAAAAAATTTTTATTTTTTAAATAATTTTTTTTTCAAATAAATTTTTTTATTTTTAATAAAATTTTATAAATATGTAAAATATAATAACTTATATGAAACAATTTTTTTTGATCAAATATTTATTTTAAAAAGATAAAATTAATATTCAACATCTCAGTATTTTTTTTTATGTTTTTTAAATATAATTTTATAAAACAGAATAAAATTTTAAATTAAAAAATATTCATAGTGCTTATTTCAAAAAATGAAATTGTATCAAAAATTGAAAAAATATTTAAATCTTTAGAAATTAATTTCATTCCTTCAAACAGATTTCTGTTGGCAAAAAAATTATTCTATATAATATATTATACACATAAACTATTATTTTATTATTATTATATTATGTCCAAATACTTTTCTATATGTATTTATATAGTGTTAAACATATAATATAAATTATTAATAATTATAAAAAAATGATATATAAAATGAAAAAATAAAATTCACATTAATATAAAATATTTAAAAAATTAAAAATATAAATAACAAAAAATCATTGATTGATTCAATAATTGGATCATTGATTATATATTGATAAAAATTTATATATATATATATTTTATTATTTTTATATAAATATTTATATAGCATACATCTTTATATATATTGGATGGATATATAGATAAATATATATTTTATATTCCATAAGTAGAATTTAATCAACGTCTGATATTTCGATATTCTGTATGACTGTTGCTATTCTCAATTTAATGCAGTTCTTGCCAGTTTATTTATCTAATTTCAAAGATAATATAGCATAATTAAACGAAGAAGAAATAGAAATTAATTTTTTATTGATATGCATATATGTTACTTGTTATAGAATTTCATAATGAATCATATTTCAACGAAATCAATAAAACTTCCTCTAAACGAAAAACAATGAATTTCGAATTAATTGTCTAGAAAAATGGTAACATTCGTTGAATATAAGAATCACACGAATTCTGAGCGAGCATGCTTTAACCAATGCTGTACCGAAATAACACAACGTTTCTAAATATGAAGGCGAAATATGCGAAATAGCCGTATATATTTTTTTAAAAAAAAATGTCGACTATAATTATTCATTCGTTAAAAGACAGAAGAAAGTAATAGATATTATTGTCATATATTTATATTATACATTTATTTCGAAAATATTTGTATTATATTATTGTAATTATATATTGCCAATAATCTTTGTTTTTAATAATATAATGTGTATAATTTCTAATTTATCGAAATTCGAATAAAATATTCATGAAAGTAATATTTATATTTATTATCATTATTATATTCAACGGTATTATTAATGATCGATTTATCGAATACCAAATACCGAAATTATATGATTTATAAAAAGTCGAATATCAAAATTAAATCATTTATAATATAAAAAATAAAAATGATTGTGAATATGAAATTGAATATCAAAAATGAATGATAGATTGAATGATAGATGATATGTATGCGATAAAAAATAAAAGATTTAGTAATGATAAAATATATATATACACATACATGTATATATATATATATATACACACACACACATATATATATACACGAAGTGCATAAGTATATACATACTATACATAAGAGTCACCCGTAATCGGTCGGTTCAAAGCGCGTGGCTAGTCAAGGCACAAAGAATATGATTAGGATATACGGGGATACGGGGACCGAGGTGAACGGGATGGAAGGTAGGGAAAATCGAGGGAGAAGGAGGCGATGGAAGTAAAGGAACATCATACTGGTCATGTCAGTGTGTGTCCAATGCCAGTAGAACGCGACGACTATCGCTTTCTGGCTCTAGCTCGTCACAGAACTTAGGCCACCGGTTCGTAAATGAACTGATGGTGCTTATCTAGATCGCGGTGGCAAATTTTTGCTCTGATTGTGCTCTAGACAAGGAGTATCGTGAAATCATTAATCAGAAATTTTTCGTATCGTCTGTATCAATTACATCGAATCAATCAATCGTTCGTTTCTAGTGCATCGATCAACGCATCGATCTACCACCACTGCTCTTGCTACTGTTATTGTTGCCACCGCTCGCAAACATCGCTTTGTCATCGTAATCGTTCTACCTGACGTCGTCGTGTTTGTGTAATCATCTTTCCACTCGGCACGATCTTTTGCGACGTGTTTTCTCTTTACTCGAAACTATGAAGTGGTATGTGATTATCTCTTTTGAGATATAATATACGATTTCCCCAATGATTCAATTCCTCATTCGATCTTTTTTCCTTTTTGTCTTTTTCCAAGAATGATACTTGTGCCTACATCGTTTTTGCGTTTTCTAACCTGCCACTTGTTTTTATTTTTTATTATATGTATACAACGTATGTACATATATATATATAAACATACTGTGTATATTTTTTTTTTTTTTTAATAAAAGGCCTAAAAAATAAATTATATGTGCAGTACATGCATATGTTTGTATGCATTTATGTATCCGTAATGAAATATAATAATATAAGTTTCAAATTTTTGTTTGTGGAAAAAAGAAACAGAGAAGAATGATTACAATAAAGATACTTAACATTGACATTGACAAAAATTTTATAAGCAGCAAAGCTACTTAGAAAAGTACCTTGGCGAGGAGAAAGATGCTACTTTACGTTTCATATACACACAGAGTGGGGTCGTTTAAAAATAGATGTTTAAACTTAAATTATGCCCCCTGGCGAATGGAGTTAGTAATTTAAGCATTTCGAAATTTGATTATTCGATTTTTGTCAAACATATGAAACAAAAAATTAACTAAATGTTCTTTGAAGAAACACTCACGTATCCCGTTCAATTTGAAATTGAAAACATTATTTTATCGATCAGAAAAAAGTTTATTCTTTTATTCATAAATAATATGGTTCCAAAATAAAAATAATTATTCTTCGTTTGCAGTTATAAAATGAAATCGTACACGTTTATTGTATATGTTGAAATACATATTTATAATCGATGATCTATATTTGTGTAGGATATTATATATATATATATATATATTTATACATATGTATGTATAATATACAATATATATTATATATAATTTATTTTATTAATTTGTAAAAAAATACTTTCATTCATAATTACTGTCATGAAATGTTGACTTTTCAAAAAGAAAATTAAAATCGTCTCGAATAAAAGAACAATTCTTACCTTGAGCATGACATTCAATCGCGAATATGTGAGAAATGCACGGCTTCTGCGTGACTAACAATAAATTCACACGCACGCGATTCGGCCATGTCGCTGTTAGGTATGGTATCTGGACCAATTTTAAATTATATGTATAGGATTATTTACATCAATCAATACCATTACTTAACTTATTTTATGTTTATTTTATGTTTAATCTCCAAAAAAATATTTTTTTTTCATTCTCTTAATAATA